GATATTTTTTTCGATCAATGGTTTGCAGTAACATTCTTACTTTGATTTTATTTATGTTAATGGGTGATCTAATTTTGTTCACCACAAATAAATATTTTATTTTCTATAGATTTATAAAATATTAAATCACAAACCCGCATATATGCGGGTCTTTTATCTAGTAAAAAGGAATTGGAAACCGAAAGCACGACTACTTATCCAATATTAGTGATGAATGACATATATACCATTTTAAAAAGTTTTCTCGTTTTATAAATGAGATTATGTTACCTATATCATTCCGATTATAAACTTTTCACGTTTTCACATTTTTGAAAATTAATTTTGTTATATACTATTGACGTTTTGAAAAAATATAATAAAAACTAAAATATCAATAATCCACCCATATAAGTTTTTAGCGTTTTCTAATTATTCTATACAAAAAGCTATTATAAAGTAAAAAAATTCAACTAATTTTTTTTTTAGAAAGAATTCAACTATTTTAGAAAGAATACGCGTGAGCTGATTCCAGAAGTAATTCATAAGGCTATTATAGATCATCAGCAGTGGATAGAGGCAGTGAGCCAGCTGAATGACTGTCAAGAAAAGAAGAGTAGTCAAAATGATCATGTTCAAAAATCTGAGTTGGAAGTAGTGCAATTTGTTAATACATGGTGTTGTTTTGTAGACAGTTCATGGGTGGCTGCAGATCAGAAAGCAGGGCTTGGTTCGGTGCTGATGGATAATAATGGAGCAATGATCATGAAGGGATCAACCTCAATAGATCCAACTGCAACTCCATTAGAAGCAGAAGCTTATGCTCTTCGAGATGCAGTCCAGCAAATCAAAAAACATGTTATTTTTTGTGGAGACTCAAAAGTTACGTTTGATGCTCTTGATAAGTGCTGGAAAGGAGTGGAAGGTAATCAAGCCATTACCACTTACTGTGAAGATATCAAGAGTATGGTCACTAATGGACTTGGCTTTAGGTTTAAAGCTATTCCAAGAAATGCAAATCAAAGATCAGATACTCTGGCTAAGGCTGCAAGATTAAAAGGTTCCAATTATGTAATCTTTTGGTTTGCTATGGGTTGTTAGTTGTTGCTAATGTATGACCAAACTTTGTATGTTTTGCTTTTTAATAAATCCTTTGCCGACAAAAAAACAAAAAAAAAATTCAACTATTTTAGTAATATGATATCTGTCTAATATACCAGTTATGCTCGTTGTCACAATACACAACACTGAAGCATTCCCTTTGAAAACTTTTTGGGCTTCGTCTTCACACCTGCGAGCTTCACCTTCCCAACCACAGTATCCACCGTTTTTTCCTTCGGAGGTTCGCTTGTTTCTATTACTTTTCGTGTAAGCTCCTCTGTTATATCACCAAGGACCACTTCAGGTTGAGCTGGCTTTTGGGATGGTTCCACCGCTTTGGATCAGTACATATAAATTTATAACAACAACATATGTAAAACGGTTTCAAAACGTTGATTAATCAATTTAAATGCTAAGCATAGTTTGGATATTCGATTTACCTAGCTAACAAATTCTAAAACTCCGACGTTTTCTAATTGTTATACAAAATTCTATATAAAAATAAAAATGATTAAAAAAAGTTGCTAATATGATCAAAATGATAGAGAGCTATTAATTCTTACAATGTTGATGTTGTGGTTTAGGACAATTTTCGAGAAGCCATAAATATCTCAAGACGATAGAGACAGAGAGAACAACTGCGATAATCCATATCCCCCATTCCCATACCAAATACTCTATCAAATTCCAAACCCATTCCATTTCTTTTAAATCTCTAATATGAACCTCTCTG